ACATCAGATGGGAAATCAAAGGGCGTTGCTTGGTAATATGAGTGGGTTGTCATTGGCCAGCCTCAACGACAACATTAATTAGGTGGGATAGTCTATCCATACACAAAACAAATAAAAAAGGTGAAATTGGGTCTCTTTTTCGAAGACCTCTCTAAGGGGGAAAACATATTGGTTCTTATTTCACAAAACATTATAAGAGACAGTGGTGATACAATTCATCAATATATATTTAGTATATATTTAAAAAGTGATATTTTGATATAAGAGACAGTGGTGACAAACTCTCTTCTATATTAAAATTGTTAAAAAGCCTTATTTCATGCAAATTGAGCCATTATGCCTGGTAAAATGAATTTATGCTCTTGAATGCTTAATATGTATTGGAAATTAATTGTCTTTGCTACTTGCATTTAAATTAATTGACATGCATTAATATGAGTTAGTTGGACCATAGTTACTGAGTGGTTGTACTCATCCTACTATCTTTAACATTACAAGGAATAGCTCAAAAGGATTGAATAGAGAAAAGTACTCAGAGGCTTAAGACTGCAATTTTATTTAGTATTCCTCTTTATTTTTTAGTCATTATATGTATTTAATAATTTAAATTGCCAACTAGGTTTGATTCATTTTTTGTTCTTACTTGTATTATATGTTCTATGAGTTGTGAGTATATTTTGGACCCTAAGGAATGAGTTGATGATATGTGTTATTTGTGTAAGGGCTAAAATACTAATGTAAGTAAGATTGAATATATTATTGGTTGATTATGTAGTAGTACTAGATGAAAATGTGCTTAAACTCCCCTCTATTGTGTTTTTAAGTGAAGGGGTTGAATATTGAAATTGTGACCTATAAGTGTTTAATATGATATGGTACATTGCACAAGTTAGTTTTGGTGTTTTACATGTGGTCTAATTGGTATCAAAGGCTATTGGCTTTTGGTAAATGAATTGGACACTTAATTTTGTAAAAATTGTTGGGAAAGTATGAGTCTTGAAAAGAGTGTTCAATTTTTTATTGTACAACAATTTGGTCATGAGACCAAAGCATTAGTTAGAGCTCGAAAATAGCTTTTTGTAGACACCTAATTCGCATCAATCGAATGTCGGATGGAAGATTGGTGTGAGTAGAAATTTGCCTCAAAAGCTATCAAATTGACAGTAGAATTTACTATCAAAAATCAAGCAAATGTGCTATAGTGCATGGCACAGAGGCGAACACGCTGCAGTGCACGCCCTTAAATTTTGCATAACTGTTTTGTTTTCAATCGTTTTTGCAAATGTACTCATATTCAAAATGATTCCATTTTAGTTTTGTAAACTTGGAATCATAACTTTTTCCACCACTTGCAACTTGGCATTATACTAATTATCTTGATTCAATCTCTTTAATAATTGAGATTTAGAGTTAATCAGGATTAGTAAAAGAAGGACATTACAACTTGAGACAGGGAAGCTTAGATATTTACCTATTTTCGTAGAGATTTTCATTCTTGCTATTCTTTTAATCTTACCCTTCAATTCAACACTAATATTTTTGGAGAAGAAAAGTGAAGATTTTGACAAATTTACTTTTTCTCCTAAAGCAAAGCAAAAAAATCTTTTAAGCATTCATCATAATAGAGGCTTATTTCTTTATAGCCTTACCAAATAGAAGTAAATAATCATCAAACATCAAATGGGAAATCAAAGGGCGTTGCTTGGTAATATGAGTGGGTTGTCATTGGCCAGCCTCGACGACAACATTAATTAGGTGGGATAGTCTATCCATGCACAAAACAAACAAAAAGGGTAAAATTGGGTCTCTTTTTCGAAGACCTCTCTAGGGGGGAAAACATATTGGTTTCCATTTCACAAAACATTATAAGAGACAGTGGTGATACAATTCATGATTAAGGAGATAAAATCAGAACTCATATCAGCTTCAATCAGGACTTGTTGGAGGAAATTCCACCTTATGAGATCACATGCCACGCTGGATTGAAAGTTTGGCTTTTTCTCTTTCTTCTGGCCCTTCAGAAGATGGGCATATGCACCACGCACAATAATTGGGGCTGGGTGATCTTCTAGTGGCCCAATAAGGCTCAGTTTACTAAAACGAGAGTTTACCGCCTGATCCAAATCAAATCAAACCTTAATTATTTGTAATTTTTTTACGTGAATAATATTTTAAATTTAATCTATTAAATAAACAAAGAGATAAAATATGAAGAGAGGGAGACAAAAAGAATGAAATTTACATTCAACATTTCATATATACAAGCATAAATACCGCCGAAAGGGGCAGGGGCATCAGGTGAGGGCACCTTCTATATTTTTTTGGTTCCCGAAGAAGACATCTCCTCGCCTGTAATTTGCATCTGTATTATCGTCAGAACTTGAATTGAGGCACATGCATGCTATCCTCTGATTATCATTAATTATAGTATTCCAATGTGAGCTCCATATTATCAGACACGCATTATTCCTACTTCACAGTCATAAATCTACTTGTGTATTTAATTTTTTTTTAATAATTTTATACAAGCTAATTAATTCCTTTTGAAATAAGCATTCATGATTAGGTTGTCTTCCCAAATGGCACCAACGAGATGCCAATTGCCAACCACGTGCAGCCTCTCATACATGACAAAATGTGTGCTACAACAATTGAAAACCCATGCCCGCCGCCATGCATTTTGTTTTTAATCTATTCAAAATTTCAACTGTGTGTTTAAAGAACGTTTGTATGTATAGATATTAACAGATTAAATTAATTGACAATAAGGACCTCACGGGATGAAGGGTGTGAGGTTATAATCTTATATTAAATAATCAGTCTTCATTAATTGTCAAACGGCTCTCACGCACGGGATTAAGTTAATATTCACGGCTGCCTGAGACACCCTCCCCGGCCATCTATTTGGAGCGTGATCGAATTCGACCATTTGCGCCCACATATATGGCGCCCACAAGGGTGTGGTCCGTGTGTGGATTGTCACACAGTATCATATTTAAGGATGAAAATAGGTTAAATTAAGTTAATTTTTCATTAAATAGATTTAAACTTGTTTGATAAATTAGAAGTATGAATTTAGCCCACAGTTTGTATAAAATAATTTTTTTTTATGGCTCAAGCATGAGTTTACTTAAAACTTGAACACATTAGTTTTAAACATCTCAAACATACTTTAGGATTATTAAAGTCTACAATATATAATTTAATTTATCAATTATAATGTATAATAATTGAGAGGGTTGCTTGCACCTAAATTGTAAATTTGAAGGCTCAAACTTAACTCAACCTAATCAGTTTTAAAGTAATTTAAAATGAATATTCATGAAGCCTTATTCACTAATTTAAAATTGAGTCTAGGCTATTATCTCCACACTCCACCCATAATGCTTAAATTATGAAAGTAGGAGAAGTATTATGATAGAGGAAGTATTTCCTAAATTTAAGGAAAGTGGCAATTATGAAATTTGGGTACCAAGTCAGGATCATTTATTCTCTCATCAAAGCATCGTTATCATCAACAAACTACTAGTTAAATTCTCAAACTCACATTTGTTGCTTTATTTTTTCTTTTATCGTGTAGTTTTAGTATTTACTTTTCTGTTATATGGCTGGCATATCTTGCCACTTTTTTTTTAATTAATGTATCTTTGCTTTCTTGTATTTACATTAATTTTTTTCACTTTACATTTTTGCATTCAAATAAACTGTGGTAAAGTAGTTTGAATTTCCGTGTTTGATTAAAAGTCAAGATCTTTTATTCTTTTGAGACCCCACGTCTTTGACACATCTTATGATGTCCTCTTTTTCACCAAACAAAGACTTACCAACTATAATACAATATAAAAATAAAGTAGCAATATTAAAATTAATATAACTCTGATCTAATTAAAAACATAACTATAAATAAAAAATAAATTGATTAAATATTAAATAGTGAAATTAATACTTTCTCTGAGGTTGGATGTTAAAAAATATAATTATTAATCTTTTAAAATATAATCATTATCTTTTTATAATGTTTCTATTGAATAAATTACTTTTATATTTATTTAAAATGATAAGATATTTTAAGATCGATTCAAATAAGTCTGATCTAGGTAAGTTCATCCTGAATTATTAACTTTTCCCACTCCAAAAAAAAACCCCTTTTATTTTTTTTTTAAAATTTATCATTTGGAAGATGTTGACCCTCCACTTTGACCGCACGCCATTTGCCGCCCCTCTTCTGATTCACGCGCCAGTTGGACCCCACCTGCCCTCACTTTTGTCTGCTCCTGCCCTTTCAATCATTTCTTTCTCTTAGTCCTAGCGGTTTCATTTCTTTTTTTGTATCCATCATTAATTCTAACTCTGCTGCTTCGCATTTCAGTTCGCTAATACGTCCATAAAAAAAATGTTAAATTCCTCATAATTCTAAGAGTGTTTCTTATTTATTTATTTTTTAATTAATTAAGTATGCACACCACCCGACAGAACACAAGTGCCATTTTCTTATACGTGACCTAAAAACCGCGTTCCATGATTAAGATGCCCCTCGATCAATGATTTCCAAATAAAGAAAATATAACTATACATGTCGAATTTAAATCCTCTGAATTTAATATTCATAAATTTATGTAAATTTTTTCTTTTTAAAGAAAGAAAAAAGTTTGCTAAAAAAATTAAAGAAAGAAAAAGAGAAAATTTTATATTTTATAAAAAAGGGTAAAATAAATAAAAATTATAAAAAAAAAAGAAACTTCACCTAAATTTACTCATTGAAACTTGAGAGAATTTCATGTGACTTTGTTGCCGCAAGCTAAAATTCTAGAAATCTTAACAATACTGGTAGCTGCAGGGCAAACAAAATACGTACGTAGCTTCATAGAATTGCAAAGACGCGCCAAGGTTCGTCCACAAAACCATGCCTTTTTTATATTCCCTTGTTCACCCTCACGTTTGACTACTGAGAGTTCGTGCCACCTTCCACTCTCTCTATATATACCCTCCCCGTTCCCCATCCTCCCCACACACTAAACCCACACTATAAGCTCTCACAAATCATACACATACTCTCGCGCAGCCAAACACCATGAACATCTCTTCCATTCTCTTCTTCCTCTTCCTTCTTCCCTGTGCCTTTGCCGACCTCAGGGTTGGCTTCTACGCCAATTCCTGCCCTTCTGCCGAGACCATTGTCCGTCAGATTGTGCAGAAGAGTTTTAAGAGCGACAGATCCATTACCGCCGCCCTCCTTCGCATGCACTTCCATGATTGCTTTGTTCGAGTAAGACCTTTAACCATCCCTATCCTCGCATTAACCCACACTTCTTGTCTTTTCCCCGTTAATGCTGACGAGATACTAATGCATGGATATTGACACTATGGTTTCAGGGATGTGACGCCTCCATTCTAATAGATCCCAAGGGGGGAAAGGGATCGGAGAAACAGGCGGGACCCAATGCATCGGTTCGAGGATATGAGGTGATCGACGAGATAAAGAGTGCCTTGGAAAAAGCTTGTCCTTCCACAGTTTCGTGTGCAGATATCATAACACTGGCCACCAGGGACTCCGTGGCTCTGGCGGGAGGGCCCAGATACAACGTTTCCACGGGGCGGCGAGATGGCCTGGTGTCTAATCCCAACGAAGTCAATCTGCCCGGACCTTCCTTCTCGGTGTCACAGGCGCTCCAATCGTTCAGAGACAAGGATTGACGATGAATGAAATGGTGACTCTTTTGGGAGCTCACACGGTGGGCTTCACCCACTGCAGCTTTGTTCAGGGCCGACTGTCCAGCTTCGGGTCCCGTGATCCTGCCATGGACTCTGCTTTGGATTCTAAGCTGGGCAGAACGTGCGGGTCATCGAGCAGGCCGGCGAGAAACGACCCTCGTGTGTTCTTGGACCAGAACACGTCCTTCGTTTTCGACAACGAGTACTATAACCAGATCATGAAGAAGAGAGGAGTGCTTAAGATCGATCAGAACTTGGCTGACGATGCATCGTCCAGAGGCATTGTTTCGGGTTTTGCGGCCAACGGGGGTAGCTTTATGCAGAGTTTTGCGAATGCCGTGGTCAAGATGGGAAGCATTGATGTTTTGGTTGGAAACGCCGGAGATATCAGGAAGAATTGCAGGGCTTTTAATCAATGATTTCTGGATTCGTTTTTTTCGGAGAGCGCCGTGGTTTATTAATTATTATTTTGAATATCGGATTTTTATTTGAGTATGTAGTTAATTTTATATATTTGATATACTTTTGTTTTATCAAATCAGGTGAACTTTAATGTATTAATATTAATAATATTAATGATAAGAATTTATTATAATTATAGAATAGATAATTTACACACATATATCTTGATTTAATTAAAAAAATATCTTAAATATACAAGAGTTAAGTGTATAAGTTTTTGTCTTTTTATTTCTTATCCGTCTCTTCTGTTGATTCAACATGTAATAAAAAGAATTCCTAATATGCCAACGGATAGAGAAGCTAATTCTATTGATTGTTCTCGATTAATAATTAAAAACTGTATTTTGATTTGGGTTTGATTAGCTCGCTTTGTCTCTCTTGCCACGGTTCCTGGCGAGACCACATGCAACTGTATCATTTGTCTTTCCTTCTGACTTTCTTCGATTATCTACAGATTGATAATTTAATAAAATTATCCGATCATGTGTGCATTACATTGCGTGCCAGCTTGAATATTTTAAAACAAAAATCACTCGCAATTATCATATGAGCAAGTTAAATATAATGTTTTTTCATAAAATTATAAAAATACTTTAAAATTCCATGTCCTTTGCTGAAATTATCAATTGTAGTAACACTAGATAATTATTAATTATTACTACTTAATTGTAAACAAAACAAATTTACTAAAATCTGTCCAGCAATAATCGATAATTTTAATATAGTAAATTAATAAATGTAGATAAACAAATTTAAGGTAACTTTATAATTTCACAAATTTTTATCTAATAACCTATGCGGGAATTTAGAGTAATTTTTTATTTTTTAAAAAAGTCTAATTTTTAGTTGTGTGTAAAGAAGTAACCCTTGAAACCTAGCAAAGACTCCCTCGATGTTGAGCATTTCGATGCATATGTAATGTTAATGTTACTCCCTCCGTTTAAAAATATAAAATATTTTTAATTAAATCTCACTTCTCAATAAAGTAGTTACCTACTTTTTAATTAATTCTATCTTTTCATACTTACTCCTATCAAACACTATACAATAAATATAAAATTATTATTAATAGAAGTACTTTTGAAAAAAAAGCAATGATTACACATCAAAAGATTAAAAATGCCTTATATTTTTTAACATCTAACTCTTCATAAAATGTGTTACATTTTTTAACAAAGGAAGTAATTATTAAATTTTTAACAGAAATTGCCATATCAGATTAATATTAGAACTTTCATTAGGTCATGTTTGTTATGCATGAAAGGAGTTTATAGAAAAATTATACAATATTTTATTTTAGTTTTTTAATTTTATAAAGTTTATTTTCAATCCTTTAATTCTAATATTATTAGTTTCATTTCAAAAAAATTTTACATTGTACTTTTAAATATTGACAAAATATTTTAAATATTGACTTATTAAATTTATTATTTTAAAGTTACAATGAATGGCACAAAGAATAATCATTTACAATTAACATTGTTAGGGTTAAATGACTAAATTATAATTTATAAAATTAAAATATTATACAAAGTTAGATAATCAAAAGTATACTTTAGTATTATTGAAAAATGATTGTCTCAGCTTAGATTTAGCAGTGAACCATCCAAAATTAAATTATTTGATTGTTCAAATTTGATATTCAAAAAAATAAAGGGAAAATAATCCTTATTTTTTTTAATCATTGATATTGATTTAGTCTCAAAATTTTAGCCCATTACATATAATTCAATCATTACAGTCTCAAAATTTTTAACATAATAAATGTGTGAATTGACTAGCTTGACATGCTTATGATGAAAATTTTGATACTACAATTTTTGACAAATCATTCTTTGAGTGCAAAAATTTTATGGTTTCTAACATGACTTAATAACTCTTTCTTGCATGGTTTTCTATGATCTTGTATTTAAAAAAATCATTATAGTTTATTAAATTGAAAAAATAGAAGAACGGAGTTGTTTCTAACAAAAACAACTATAAAAATTAAGTTATCTCGAATTAATAAATCATAAAATCAGTAATTTCATGTCGAAACAATCCAAAAATAACGATAATTTTATTCGGTGAGTGAAATTTTTTTAAAATAATTTAATTTTTGAAAAGACAGTGGACAGGGTTAATATTTAATAAAATAATAACTTTACTAATGAATTTGAATTTTTACTTATCAAAGATCCTTTTAAAAAATAAAATTTTTTGAGGAATCCTTTATTAATATTCTCATCAAGTAAAAGGCATCAACATGTATTTTCTTGCATGATCCACGCAGGTAGGTGTTGCCCATAGAACTTGAAGGATAAAATGATTTGGCAGGATGGACAACTATTGAAGTCAGCTTCTGGAACTAATTATCTTCCATAACGCAAGCCGATGACCAATTTTCTTCCCCAGCCGAGAATATTTACATCTCAACTGGTGCGATCTCTTGAGTCATCAGCGTCGTCGTCGACGTTAATTTCTGAAACAGCGGAAAAGAGAAGTAGTAGAAGAACAAGGTCAAACCAACGTGGCCAAACCTATTTGATTTCCAAGTGCTTGCCTGAAACATAACAACAATTTTGAAGCAGCGGAGCTTGACGGACGTCGTCCATCCCCCTGATCACGTAGAAATTAGTGTCGCATGTGGGTTGCATTTCTGGACCTTTCCATTTCTCACCCTAAAATCATGATACGTAAACGGATAAGGTCACCAGCTCAAATCTAGTCGGTCGTCTCGTCCCCCCGTTTCATAAGCAAGAAAGATTCCGCCAAATGAGCTTGGGCCGTCGGGACTTGTTCACTAGCCCAATAACGAGCAGGCCGTGATGACTCATCATTCATCAATTCAGGGACAAGGGCCCAATTTCTGTATTGAAAACATCCGTCACTTTTCTCTTGTGAAATGCCCTACATTTTTATTGGATTCAAATCATTCGAAGTTTGAGATTGGGGAATTTCTGTATAGTTTTTTTTTAAACAAAAAAAAAATAGAGTGAAGGTTTTATATTTTATAATAAATAATAAAATGTCAGGAAATATTAAAAAAACTTTACCTAAATTCACCAATCGTAACATTAGAGGATTTACATCCCATTTTATTCTTCCACCCATGACTTCTTACCTGTGCCATCCATCATTTACCACCCCAATTTTTTTTTTTTTTACTTTTCGATATCCCTTTCCGTGGAGGTGGAGGTGCATTCTGCGGGGAAAAATAATGTTGCCATCGATGCTTGCCTTTTTAAACCCTTGTTTGAAAAAAAATATAAATTTCACAAACAAAAGTAAATACTCCCTCTGTCTCAAATTATATAACACTTTTGAAGGAGTTTTTTCATTTTAAAATATAAGACATTTTGAATAATTAAGGTTTCATTAAATGTATCAATTTGAATATTACCCTTTTTCTTTCTATAATTAATTTATATCTCTTTTCTTTTCAATATATTAAATGATGGACATTTTTTGAAAGTTTACATTTTTATTTTGAAAAGATAAAGTTGTTAAATATATTTAATAAGATTTATTGATATGTGAGATTTTATTTAAAAGTGTCTTATAATTTAGGACAGAAGGAATAATTTGTATGAGTTAGTAGTATGTAAAATTATACTCACTCCATCCCAAATTATAAGACATTTTTAAATAAAATCTCACAAACCAATAACCCTCATTAAATACACTAACAACTTTATTTTTTTAAAATAAAAATGTAAATTTTTAAAAATATCCTTCATTTAATAACTTTAAATTCACACTTAATTAGTATTAAACAGTGATAGAAATGGTAATATTAGAATAAACATATTTAATGAAACTTTAATTTTTTTTTAAATATCTTATATTTTAAGATGGCAGATCTTCTCCAAAAATATCTTATAATTTAAGATAGAGGGAATAACTTACTCCCTCCATTAAAAAATGTAAGGCATTTTTAACTGAATCTTACCTCCTAATAAAGTAATTACCTACTTTTCAACTAACTCTATCTTTTCATATTTAACCATTTTAAATACCCTGCAATAAACATAAAGTCATTATCAATAGGGGTACTTTTTTTTTAAAAAAAAGGTAATGATTACGCCTCGAAAGATTAAAAATGCCTTATATTTTTGAACATCTAACTCTTAAAAAAATACTTTATATTTTTGAACAGAGAGAGTATTACTTTTATAGATAATATTTGTGTTGAGCGAAAGTTGGTTATATGCCATCTAGTTTGTGTTGTTTATCATTATTCGTAATATTCATGGCTATAATTTCACATGAAGTGCTGTTTACATGAAAGGAGAAGGAACAAGGAAAAACAAAAGGCGTGTAAGGTGGGGTCATGGAGGTGGGAGGAATTGAGAGAGGGAAGGGGCCAAAGGTATGGCTTGGAGGGTAGTGAGGGTTTTGTAGTTTATAGAATGCAGTACGAGAAGCACGAGAGGCTGTCACTCACAGTTTACAGTGCTCTCAGTCCACAGCCCAACAGTGTAGATTCCGATGGCTTTGGCTTCTTTTATGTATATTATATGGCACAATGAGTGGACATTTCCCAGTCGGTAACAGCTCTCACTTTTCCGTTTTTGGCAAAACTCCAAACGCTCCTCCATTTGCCCTCTCTCCGGTCCCTTGCAAGTCCCTCACTGTTTCTTCTTTCTTTGACGAGTTCCTATACTCATCAAAACATGACACTGCCTCCAAATCTCTTGTTCTTCTTTTGGGGCACATCCATTCAGCATTTCCCGTGTTCGAATGCCCCATCTTCCGCCTCTTAACTCGGCCTCCCTATTATGTCCACAGAAGCTTCTCATCTGCCTACCTCTATCACTATATATAGCCATTCACTCATTATTGTAATTGTATTTGGCATGCAATCACACACACAATAATGCTCTGCTCTCGCCTCAGTGAGAACTTTATAAAACTCTGAAGCATATTTCACATACTCCCAACGCATACAACAATGCCATTTTCATTTACCCCTTGGCACAGTTCGCTTGCTCGCTCATGTGGCTACGTATAGAAGCGCTTCTAACTTGAAGAAAAGACTACAATATAATTTAATTAGGCTTATAATTTGTCACTTCTCTCTCTTGATAACCTAGCATCCATGCAGCAATAACAACAACAAGCCTTATCGGCTTATCTCATTAGTTGGGGTCGAACAACCTAGCTTCTATACACACACATATCCTTAAGATTAATTTTTCTGGCACGCACATCAAATTCTTCTGATAACTCAAGTCACGTTAGTTAATTAGTGTCTCTGTGTGTGTGTGTGTTGGGAACCGCCTCACCAAGAAAAGAACTTAAGACCAGCGCCGAGGTAAAAAGCCACATAATTAACTACTGAAATAGCTGACATTCTTCATTTATACATAATAAGAAAAATATTATATTGCATATGATTTTATCCGGATAGACGACGAACACCGTGTGGGTTTTCCGAAAATGGAACAAAGAGAAATCACCGAAAGATTGGCCTGCATGCTTATTTACACAGAAAAGCAGGCGAACAGCAGAATTTTATTTACAGAGTGTCAGATGGCTTACATCATTGTAAAAACTATACAACAAGCAGCGACAGCAGAAGAAGCAAATAACTTGAATATTGTGAATATACATATATATACATGTAATGCACAGAAAACTGCAAGGTTGGTGGAACCTAGAAGCCTTCGAGGGTTAAGCCAACCTTTGATGACCCTCTGGTTTAATATAAAAAGGGGGTGTGCAGAGAGAGACAGAGGCACTGTAAGAGGAGTGTGTTCGCATTAGCGTCACCGGTAATAAATTATTGCACGGTTTCTCGACCCACCCTTTGGATTTTTGCTCTTTTTTTAATTAGTTTTTCAGATTATTTTTGCTTCCTCCTTCACTCCTTCCCAGCTTTCCATGCATATCTTCACATGCACTTGCCTTGCCCAAAACCCTAATCCCATCCCCTCCTCTTGTATTTTTGCCCAAAACCTTCCTGGTTCCTTCTCTCGCTCCACCCCATCGCCCAACTTCTTACATTCTTTTAATCTTCAGACATCTAGTGGTGAATGCGATACAGTACACTCAGATTAATTTAAATTTGCGTTCTCAAAGAAGAAAGGAGTTACTGACTCTGACCACGGAATGTAAGTTACTTGGTCAAAGGCAATCTTCCCCGAATTTGAGCCTTCTCAATATCTTTAATCAGCCATCTCCTCATGCACTGAATATTCTAGAGTTTTACTGTCACAAACGCGTTACACTTTTGAACAATATATATATATATATATTCCTTCGAGCTTGTTATCGCACAAATTAAGGATGTCACCATTGAATAATGTGAGTGCGGGGGTTACAAGTGGGACTAGTTCTTGACAATTTACGAGGATGTAAGACCGTTTATAATATATTTACCTGATGGGTCTGTCACTCAAATTATACAAGTAGCCTCGCTCGATTCAAATAAAGCTTAAACTCAGTCAAGTCTAAGCCTTCTGCATTTTTACATGTCAATGATGTATGGGAATGAGTCATCCGTTATCTATTATATATGGCCGCATTAATTAATTAAGCTGTCAATATACGGTAGTATTGCATGGCTAAAATACAATTGAATTGAAGAAAGGAAATTATTTCGCATACTCGAAAATTTGTCCCACTTACAGAAATCAATACAAGAAATATGAAGCCCTATTCAGTAATGCTTTATCCAGATGAAGTACTGATGTATCAATTTGGGGCTTTAGATAAGGATGGAGGAAACACTAGAAAAAGGAGTAATCCTATAGATCTTTTCCAGCAACATTAGGTCATCCATGAGACATGAGCAACGTTGTGGCCGGAACAGTGTTGGATGCCAGAAAGATCTGGTGAGAGTATATAAGTAGACTAACATACATCATAAACCCAAATTTATCATTTATATTTTATACCTCTTTCTGATTCCACACACACACACACACACACACACACACACACGGAACTATTTACATCAAATAAACCATGTGGTTGTTAATCTTCTTCACATTGGAAGTACTATATGTTTATGAACACATTTTATATACCATATTTATTATCAAAAATTTAAATTATAATTATCCAAAATAATATATAAGGTCTATTATTTGCTTTAGATGGCTACAATATATGATTATTGTTTAAAAAATCCAAAATATATAATACCGGTTTCCACAGACAGCGTGGATTTTGAGGGAAAATCAAGTTACTTGAAGCGAAGTATATGACAGCATTATTTTCTCTTTACTTTCTCCAGAGGACTGTTCTCTGGTAAATAGTGATGAGATTTCCACGCCCCACTGTGCCCTTCTTCTCGCTTCAAGTGGCTGTCCTGAATAAGATTACTTGTCCTGATCAATAAGATTATGCATCTTTTCAAACAACGAAACTAAACATGATTAAGTGAGTTTGAACATATTATCACCTAATCTCGTCATGGTATAAACCGGCATTGCGGAGTTGAATAACATTTTCCTTCAAGCGTGTGCGTTATCATTATATTAGCTTAAATTATAAAAGACAAGGGAAAAAAATGCCCGGACCTTTTCAAATATCAATGATTCATGACCAATGCAAGACCTTAGACCATCGTTGAGAAGCAAGGGAGTTTCTCATTGAACGCGGGTCTTGGGGAGTTCCATATGTTTCAAAAGGAAAAAGCAATTAATATATATTAAATTAAGGATAAAAATCATGCTCCACTCGTATTGTCCGACCTTTTATAATATGTAAAAAGCAGAATATCAACCCTTACCAATAAACACGTGTCAATTTAACTGGCGTCATCAGCTGCCACCGTGCTCTTTATAGGTGACGCGAACAATATAATACATACATACATAAATGACTGGAGACGCTTTTAGATTGTAGATTAATCAGCGACCTTCATACTGCAAATTAATTAAATTGAGTATGTATATATACCTACAATAAAGAGTAAAAAATCCATCATTTTGATAGGGAGAACATGATAATAAGGGTGAATATAAAGAGGATGGCAGAAGAAGGGCGGTAAGGTAATTTGAGAGGGGTGAATTAGCATTTGTGTAGTTGGTTGAGTGTACAGGAAGGAGGAGGAGTGGAGCTCATTTACAAGATTGCAAATATAATAAAGAAAGGAGAGCATGTTGGGAATATAAATAGAGATCGAGCAAAAGCATATAATATATAATTTGCCTAGGTTTCAGCTGCAGAGAGATATCTTAATAGATTGAAGTACCCTGTTGTACATTGGAATGGAAGATCAAGGTGAGGGGCAACAGGAGGCCAATACTCCGAACCAGGGCTTGGAGAGGAGCGAGCCGGTGAGGTCAAGGTGGACTCCAAAGCCTGAGCAAATCCTCATCCTTGAGTCCATCTTCAACAGTGGCATGGTCAATCCCCCCAAGGAAGAAACCATCCGCATCAGAAAGCTCCTCGAGAAGTTCGGTTCAGTCGGCGATGCCAACGTCTTCTACTGGTTCCAGAACCGCCGCTCCAGATCCCGCCGCCGCCAGCGCCAGATGCAGGCCTCCCTCGAGCAGAGAAACCAGCTCCAGCCCCAGCTCGGCGGTGCAATTCCTTACGATCATCAACCTCACGCCACCTCCTCTTCTGATCCGCAACATCTTCCTCCTGTCGCTACTGTGCCTTTTGCTGCTCCTTCTCCGACTTTCCCTGATCTCTCCGGCTCCTCGTCTTCTACTAGCGGCATGCTTGGTGGCCAAGAAGCCCTCGATGGTCTCTTCTCGGTGGCTTCTCAAATCGGTTTTCCCGAATTTGACCACTCTTCGGCTCTATACCCTCCTCCGACTCATGCTTCCACCTTCAACTATCATTCCGGTAATTATTTCATGTTTGTGCATGTTTCTTGATCAGGTTCATCCAAACAGCCCCTTTTTTATTTGTTTAACGATGTATGTTAATTAATATAAATACTCTTCTTTCCCTAACTCGGTTAAATAATTCTGTCTTGAGCCTTGCTTCTATCCATTATAAAACAACCCGCTTAATTTTAGGCCTTCCTAAAGAATACTGCGGGAATCTTTGATAATCACTATCATTGAGTATGCAGTGTTCATTTATTTTGATTTAATAGTTTTTTGGCATATAAAAAGGTTCAACTGTGCTTGGTCTGATTAGGTTTAAAGGCTTACAGAATAAAGTTGCAACTTTTTCGTGACTTGACACTTCTTTTGCCTTAAAGTTGTAAAATCTTTCCGTGAAAAAAACACCGACTGAATTTCCGGTTTCAGTTTCCATTTCTGCCTTTCAATTTCCCCTTCCCCTAGTCGAGTTTCCTTCCTACCTTCTTTGCAAAGATTTCCAGACCGTGCGAGATTTCTTGGTAATTAATTGGTAATTCCTTACATGTCGTCGCCAATTAACAGGAATCTTGAAATGCTCACGATACACACGCACAATTTTTTGCTTAAAACGAGCCGTCTTGATCTATATAGTTTATTAATTTTTTGCTTATTTGAGATGTCAGTTGGCCCAAAAAAATTGCACAAAGCAGAAACTCAAGGTATCTGCTGAATATTTAGAGATCAAACACCTGCTCTAATTTTTCTGTGATATATATATATATATATATATCGTTATTGTTTAATTATTGGTGGGGGCTGAGGACGCTGCAATTTCAGGGCTCGTCACAGTGTTTATCAATGGAGTGGCAACAGAAGTTCCGAGGGGGCCATTGGACATAAAAACAATGTTTGGACAAGATTTAGTGTTAGTTCATTCCTCCGGAGTGCCACTTCCCACCAATGAGTTTGGTTTCCTGATGCAGAGCTTGCAGCATGGCGAAAGCTACTTTCTGGTAATTATCGCATCTCCAACTTATATTTATCTTCACTCCTCACATTGGAGAGTTTCCTCCACTCTCTCTAAAAAATCAATTCGTCTGCAGGTTTCAAAGCCGACATAATTAAATATGAACACAAGCAACTAGCAGCCATGGGAGCTTCCTTTTATACGTGTTTCTCCAAATTCAATTTCCTTTGTCTGCAATCCCTTTTTCTTTTCTTTTTAAAAACCCCCTCCCCCGATAATCACCCCCCAAAAAGATTCAGAGATCTTTATCTGTGGTTCAAATAATGGAGCTCTATTATGTGATTACAGTCTACAGAAGTCCATATCGACATCGTCACATACATATAGTTTTTAGACCTCTCTCTCTCTATATATCCATTCATCTATATATATAGAAACACCCATTCCAGAGATGAAAGCAAGATGTGGAAATATGTAGTTATATTCAATTTGCCTCTCACAATTAGTTTTTAACTATACATCAGTTATGACTGATAAGATTATTAATTAAAATAATTATTATATTGTTGTGGCATTTAATAAAGACGTCATGACATGGTGGGACCAGAAAAGTAATAAATTCAAGCGGTCAAAATTGTTGGAGAGATTCTGGCAGAGCTCAATACATGGTGTTCCCATTGTGTTTCTTCAAATAATAGAGTACAATGTTAATTTACTTAATAGTAACGTATCGGGTTTTAAAAAAAAATAAAATAAAATGATGGCGAACAGTAGTGAGAAATGTTAATACTTAAACAGATACAGAAGGAAAATGTAACCCGTAAAAGCGAAAAACAGAATATTCAAAGTGGTTACACGCACACGCTAACGCGATCGAGTATGTCTATCTTTTCCCGCATCAATTCCCTTCTCAATGAGCAAAACCAGGCAAAGGTCGACATATATGAACCTTCGGTTTAAGAAGACCACGTTTCAGTTCATTGAACCTTCGGTTTTAATTATCATTTTAAAAAAGAGGGCCAAGATTTATTAATTACTACATAGTAGTAAGAGAAATAAACTAACCTATGTAAAGGGAAAACTAAGAGAAATCGGGAAGGAGAGTTGCTTAAATCTTCTACAACTTAATTAATAATAATGTTCGTCCCAACGCTTCCTCTCGAAATGATTTCAATTACTGAACTTTCATCTATATTATCCTGGTTAATTGATGGGGACTAGGACTGTTACAAAATTACCGAACTCAACCAAGCGCAATCAGCTGGAAAATTAAGCATGTTATGAAATAAATTGTATATAATTTGGCCCCTTCAAGATAACTTCAAAAAAAAAAAAGGGTGGAATGAGGTTTGGCAACAGTCAAAAGGCCTCAAACCGTTCTGACATGATAAAAAAATTACATAAAATTAGATTGAACCAACCGAATCATTCAATTCTAGATGACAATTGAAACAAGGGAATGATGTTGCATGTAGTTTATTTGTCAACTTGAATATAGCGGCGACAATGACGAGGCTCTATAAAGCAAATGAAGCTGTTGGTTGAATTTCTACTATTCAGTGCAGGAGCAACGAAACAGGTATAGCTGCCTGGCTTCCAATTATTACCGCAGATATCTTAATTACGGTCATATACGGTGTTCATCATTCTAATGAAAAGCAGGATGATGGTTAAGATGAAGAATATACGGTTTGGAATTAATTAGCGAGACGCTTAAAATTAGTAGCTTAATTGAGAATATGATGGGAGTGCATGGGCAATGGTGGCTGTACGTGGATTCTTGAGTGGGAGGGGGAATTGAAATGTAAATATATTCTCTGAAGATTGGTCCCCACACCGACCAATATAACCAATGCAAATCAGACGGATGTTTGTAACAGATTTCTTGGATTCTTTTCGGAGTTTTGTAATAACCTCAGCAGAACATTGAGGGAGGGCACACTTACATAGAAATACCATGTGAGATATCTAAGTCTTTCGGTTGTCATGTCAATAAAAATTATGAATATTTGCATCCCTATGTTAGATTCTGTGCATACTTGAGGTGATTATTTAAATGGAGAGTATAGATTTTGTTGACCAGAAAGCAGCTGGATTTGCCCATCATTAATTAATTTCAAAAGCCTAAACTTCGCTGTACATTTTTTTTTCCCTCTCTGAATCATATTCCAGCTTGGATTACTTTCGTTCAATGTGAAACTTAGTGGATTCCGTTCCATCCTCCGGCCCTTTTTTGTATTCCAAGAATTATTCATGCTATCAATATGTGTGTCTTGAACACAATTTAATATGACATTGGGATGATAGTTTGTCTTCATAATTGTTGAGCGTACATGACCTCGCGCGCGAGCTTTCGGGGTGTTGAGCATTTAGTGCTGACCATGTTTTGGAGTCGAGAGTTGTACAGGCAGTGTTGTGAGTCATACTACTTAAAATGACTCTGGATGGGTCAGGTTTTCAGTTCAACACATTAGGTGTATGTATGTATGTATATATATATATATACATATATAGCTCAACAAAGGGGAGGAAGAAGGAAAAACTTTATAAATGTCCCGTTGTTTCGACTTGGCAGGGGCACCCAGGGACTGTTTATCTTTGTTAAAAATGCTAAAACTAATTTTAGCCTACCCATTATATGATGTTGTTTTGCATTTTGGCCTCCCATAGGTTCAGTCAGATCCGTCCCTGAGGGACCCGGTTATAAATTTGTTATCACACCCCTATCACTATACACCCACAAGCAACAAGTGAAAACAATAAATCAGACGATATAAAATTGATTCTCAATTAGAACGTAACTATAAAACGAAAGAATCGATGTATTAGCTAGATGAATTAAAACGAAATAATGAGTGAATATGTGACTACTTTTCGGGGATACTAAGGATGATACTTGAAATTAAAAGAATATAAATGGTGGTATTTAGCAAAATCCTCATATTTTCTTAATACCCCCTCCTACAAATTATACACGAGACTTAATTAAGTTGAGTTGGTGCCGTGGACAAATTATGTCACATAACAAGAAAGCATATGGGTGGGTGGCGCAATACCCTTGAGATTAATCCCGTGAAAATTATCTGTTCGTGGCTTAATGCTCTGAATATATAATAATTGCTTTTGACTCTGTCTTAATTAGCCCCTCGCTGTCTTTTATGCTTTGTGTTTGCTTATGTATATACATATCCATGTATACATGCATGAGTGTAGGACTATTACATCCTCTGTGTCATCAGTTCCTACCCGAAAAACATGATAGCCTTCACAGCAGCCTCGCTCACATCGAAAGAGTTGTCTCCAGATCTAAAAAACATATAGTTAGAGAAGATCATATACCATGGAGGAGGCTTAGCCCGGCTGATGTTTGGACTTGAACAGATCGAAGGAGGAGGAGCAGATTGGAGAAGGGGCGAACGGACTGGGGCAACACAGACCTTGTTCGACGATGGTCGGAGATTGCAGCCGATGGGCTTGGATCAAAGACAACGGACAATGACTAGATCAAAGGTGGGAGGAGGATGGCACACATAAAGGATCACAACGAGAGAGTTTGATTGGAAGATAGGAAGATACATGGTTTAAATTAAGGGCAATGTTGGTAGATAGAAATTTCTATTAGCTAATAAATAATTGTAACGGTAAAAATGATGTAAAGAAGCCATCCATGAGAGCTTAATTTAAAACGTGGTTACAGCTAAAATAATTGATTTTGAGTAAATGGAGGTGTTTGGGTATTTTTTTTACCCAAAATAATCCATTATTTTGGGAATCCAAACAAGCACTTTCTTCTGGTGAGAACCAGAGCTAGCAAAATAGATTGAGTTCATATAAGCCCTAAAATGACTAGGGTCGAGTCACTAAATTAGATGATGAAAATGAATTTCTACTTAAAGAGGGCTAGCTCTTTTAAGTTTGATTTAAAAAAGATTAGGTGAAAAATATGAAACCAACAAACATAAAGTTCTTCTCATGCTTAAGTGGCTTATTAACAACAACCAACACTTTTGATGAAGCATTTGATGCGTGTATGGGTTATTTTTTAATCTAATTTTACTTTATTAATTAATGTTTAAGTGATATTTTTGATCCACACAAAAATCAAGTATGCGGGTTGCAATTGTAGCTAATGGTAAATCAAGGTCGATTCCCATAAAAAATTGAGTAAAATGGCAAGTAGACATTAAATTTCTAATTTCATTCATGTTAAGCAAGCAAATTATAGTGGTGAATGATTGAATTTAACAACAATAAAAATGTAAAGTGAACAACTAAGATTTTAAAACACTATAAAATTAACAAACGATTAGGAAAGCACCTTAGAATTTTAATCTTTCATTTGCTCCATTGCACTCAACTCATTAATTAAGTTGATTTTAATTTCAATTTTAAACATTAGAACGCTATAATTAATTTTAAATATCTTTTGATTACCCAAAACCCTACCTTATTCTGAGTCAACAATTCCTTGTCAAAATTATATTAAGAGCATTAAGTTTAGGAAAAATCAGTCTAAGGTCCCATAGAAGCACTTAAAATATGCTGAGGTCTCATGAATTTAAGAAATAGTTGCCAGGTCCCTAGGGACCTAAGAGTGAATAAGTCTGAAAATGAAATTACCCATTTGCCCTCTAGCATTGAAAAGAAGATTTGCTTCACGCGTGCGTCTCACGAAACCTATGATCATTAATAGTGAAGGTTGCTGCATATCCAAGATTGTTGATTACGGTAGGATCATCTTCACTTCCTCACATCCATGATTACAGCCCTTATCTTCATCTAAGTAAGTTGGGAGTGTTTCTTCTGCAACAGCAGCATTTCATCGACAGAAAATAATTTTTTTAGGCAAACGATTGTTAGCCATAAATGATTACATAAATTACCGATTAACAGTAGCATATCCATTGTTAGCTAGGTAAACATTTCTTGTGTGTTAATAATTTCATTATTGTTTAAGGGTAGGATAATGCTTTTTGGGTAAACCTGCAATCATTCAATTTGCATAGCTAATATATGAAATAATCTAGTGCCACACTGATACGTTGACAAATATCTAATATGAATATCTTTACATGTTGTCAATAGTGTTTTGTTGTGTTGTCAATATGGCATGACTAGTTGTCAATACACTGTATTGTGCAGGCTAACCAATAAGAATACAAGTACTACTGAAAAACATGTATTATGTTATGTTTTTTCATATAGGACATTTTATATATTATTCACAAGCATCCGAGGTAAGCTTGTTTTGTTGAAAAATCTCTGCTATTAAATAACACTGCATCTCGTTAATAGTGGATAAACGTGTTATCAATACACATTTTTAGTTGTCAATACACTGTGTGTGGTGCAGGTTGACCTGTAAGATGACAAGTTCTTTCGGAGAACATATATTATGTTTTTTCCATATAGGGGGCATTTTCAAAATAATGACCAAGGAAGT